TCATCTCAAGTGTGAGCCCTGGTAAACTAAACTAAAGATAGGATGAAAGAGAGGTAGAGAGAAAAGAGAAACAAGTTGAGCTTGTTGTTTTCATAACACTGAGATAACGAGTTCTGAATCCCACATATATGTAGAGTAAATTTCATGTGGACTGAGTGTATTTTAGAAATGAATTGTTCATGAGTATATGGTGTTTATATGTGTGGTGCTACGTATAAGGTGATGTGTGTTAGACCACAGATTACTGGATGCTTCATGAGGAACGTTTTGTGAACTGTGGTTTTTCCACTTAAATGATGCTTGTAGTCAAGGGCCCTGGAGTGTCTGGCTTACCCTGAAGCAGGGCTAGTGCTGCAGGTAGTTGGAAAGGCTGTTGCCAGATCCCTGGTTGCACAATGGACTGGGAGCATTTGGGTTTAGCAGGAGCTTCTGTTAACAATGTTCTGTTTCACAGTCAGGTCAGTCTGTCTTATGAAAGACAGCATTCCAGCATAGGACCCCAACACATACCTCATACTGATTCTGCTCTACTTCCTGGGAAATAAAGAATATAGGATTTTGTACCCACCCCCACTCCTCCTGAGGTTGCATTTCCAAGGTTAATGGTTTTCTCCAATATTTCCAGGAGTACTTGTGTCCGGTGCTGTGTCTACAGAGCCCACAGTATGCTTAGGGCTTGTTTTGCATGTATTATGTTCTTATGGAATCTTTTGTTCTAAACTGTTGAGATAAAGAATGCCATGGGTGTTTTCCCTTCCCTCCCTTCCTCTCCTTTCAAAAGGCAGAATGACATGGGCAAAAAGAAGAAAGAGAGGCAGAGAGAGGGAGAGAAAGAGAGAGAGGTCTTTTATTTAATGGTATACTTCTCAAATGGCCACTCTCTGCCATGTTGAAGCCAGGAACCCCAGAACTCCATGTAGGTCTCCCATGTGGGTGGAATCACACATTTCCATTGGACCATGTCTTCCTTAGCTCTGGGGTACAACATGAAGTTACCCACAGTGCATCTTGATGGGGAGGTTGATCCTGTAGGCCCTAAAGGAGCCATGGGTCGAACTGAGAACAGACAGGCAGAGGTGGGAAAGACTTTGTTCCCTGACAGTATTCTAGTTTCTCTCATTCAGGAGAGGTAAGAAAGATGTCATTCAGCCAACTGATGTGTAATTGAATCCAACTCCCAGATGTTAAGGGAAAAGTCGAACACTGGGGAAATTTTGAACTCAGTTGGACTTCAGCCATGGGACTGGCATTTTAAATTTGCATTTTAGTAAATTTTGTTTGGTTTTAATATGGAGAACAGATTGGAGAAGGGACCACTGAAGGCAGGGCGACTGGCATTTAGGGAAAGAAGAGGAGAGATGAGGAAAACCTAAACTAAAGTTTTGAAATTGTAGGTTCAGAGAAGTGGCCTTGAGATACTCAGTTCTGATCAGATGTGAGAAGAGGGACTGGATCCAGGTTCTGATTTTGGTAACTGGGTGAAGATGCAGAAACGATGAGGAAAAATACAGCAGCAGGGGACATGACTGCCTGTGGATATAGCTTCAGAATATAAAACAGTTCTGTCAGTTACTAACCTCACCCAGCTGGACAAATCTTCTCGTGATCTTATTTGACATAGAACTCAGTTCAGAATTAATACCCGGGCCGGCGCCGCGGCTCACTAGGCTAATCCTCCGCCTAGCGGCGCCGGCACACCGGGTTCTAGTCCCGGTCGGGGCGCCGGATTCTGTCCCGGTTGCACCTCTTCCAGGCCAGCCCTCTGCTGTGGCCAGGGAGTGCAGTGGAGGATGGCCCAGGTGCTTGGGCCCTGCACCCCATGGGAGACCAGGAAAAGCACCTGGCTCCTGGCTCCTGCCATCGGATCAGCGCGGTGCGCCGGCCGCAGTGCGCCGGCCGCAGCGCGCCGGCCGCGGCGGCCATTGGAGGGTGAACCAACGGCAATGGAAGACCTTTCTCTCTGTCTCTCTCTCTCTCACTGTCCACTCTGCCTGTCAAAAATAAAAAAAAAAAAAAAAAAAGAATTAATACCCGGAGTTGCTGATGGAAGGTCCCTTCCTTTCCTGTGCCCTCAGTCAGACTTTTGATAAGCATTGAAATGAGTAAGTCAAGGGTAAATGGGAGAACATTGTTCTGTATTGCTGTTGTCTTGGAAATAGTCCTCCTAGGGTTATTAGTCAGTCTCCTTGGCATCCCTGTGGCTCCTGTATCTCCTCCTGGTATGAAAACTCTATGTCACTGAAATAGATCCTCTTAGTTAATAGAACTAAGTTAATAGTGCTTCAGATCCAGTTCTTTCTTAGTAGGCAATTCAGCCCTCAAGTCTTAATGCAACCTGTTCATTCTAAGAGCTCCTTAAGTTGAGGAAGTTAGTCCTGAAGAAAGCCTCTTTGGATTGTAGTAAAGAACACAGTCCTGAAGTCACACAGCCATGTGTCCAAACCCAGCCCTGCCATGTACCAGCTGTGTTATCTTGGGCCTCTTCTCTTCAATGATGCCTTATCTGTAACATGGTAATAATAGTGTGTTTATTACTTAGAGCTGATGACTTTTATTCGATAAAGTGTATAAAGTGTTTAGTATAGTTTTTGGCACATAAGAAACATCCAGCAAATACTAACATTCATTTAGTATTCTTTAGTTGCGTCTAGCCTGAAGTTAGTAACCATTGGCATGTTTTCAAATGCTTGAAGAAATTTGAACTATATTGTAGTTATTGCCATAAAATGAATTTGGGAATTTTTAAATATTTTTAATCATTTATATATTTGTATATTTTTAAAAAATACATGTGCAAAATAGATTCTAAGTAAAAAGAGCCAACAGCTGGAGGGGAGGGGGCGGGATCAGCCAATCTTGTCTCTTTGCTGTGTTGTGGTTCTGGGTTATCTGAGCGACTGCCTCGGAAATGAAGGTACGGTGCTGCAGAGGTCAAGGTGCCCGCTGACCTTGGGTCGCATCTGCTTGGTTTTCCTTCTCTTCTCATTGCCATGCTCTCCAGGCTGTCTTTGGTGAGGAGGACCTAGTGGAATGGTGGTCTACGAACCGGATGCGTATTCTGTCTCACTGGTCCACCTGGTTCTCCTGCACCAGGGCCATCAGCGTCTTCCATCCCTTCACCCTGCAGGGGAGGGCGGGAATACGGCGGTGTACGCTCATGGGGTCCCGACACATGCAGTCAGGCCAGCATACTTGGTCCTGGCCTATGGGGGCACGCTCTGAAGGGCTCCCTTGTTCTTTTCCCCACTTGGCACTGTTCCAGTAATTCTGGTCATTGCATGGAGGGTCCCTACGGCACAGACAGCGTCTGGGATGGATATGTTTGCTGCATATGTACTGCCTTGCCTGGAGCTCCTGCAGCACGTGTAGCGCTGGCTGTCTGTGTGACCTGTTCTGTGACATCACACTCTGCAGTCTCTCCATCTCCTAATGGGATTATTCTTGTTTATGCAGGCTGGTGTACAAGCAGGTCTTCCTTGCTGTCATGCCTGTTGATGAAGCCATATCCGTTTCTTTATTTTTTTTTTTTTATTTATTTTGAAATGTAAAGTTACAGAGAGAGAGAGAAAGAGACAGGAAGAGACAGAGAAAGATATCTGCTGGTTCAGTCCCCAAATGGCCACAACAGTCGAGGCTGGGTAAATCCGAAGCCAAGAGCCAGGAGCTTCTTTTGGTCACCCACGTGTGTGCAGGGGCCCAAGCACTTGAACCATCTTCCACTGCTTTTCCAGGCGTATTAGTAGGGAGCTGGGTCAGAAGTGGAGCAGCTGGAACTCAAACCAGCACCTATATAGGATGCCAGCACTACAGGTGGTGGCTTTACCCACAATGCTAGCCTACATATCTGTTTCTTACGTTGGGTCATTTTACTGTTCCCAGAACTTTTGGTTGTGATGACCTTTTTGTCCCTGCCGACCGGCCTCGCCAATGTGAGGCCACCTGGGCCACCGCTCCGTGTGCCACAGCCAGTGGTGCAGGGTGTGGTTTTGGTGTTGCTGAGGGTGGGGTCATCTGCTGAGTCTGGGCCCCACTGCTTGTGGTTGCGGTGTTGGTGACTGGGGCCGGCCGGGCAGCTACCGTTCCTCCTGGGGTGTGATGGTAACCAGGCTGGCGGTGGTTGTGGGGCTGCTCAGGACTGTCTAGTGCCTACATTCTGCTCCTGCTGCTGATCAAACTCAAGCTTCAGATTTTCTGACTGAATCTCCGTATCTGTTTGCAAGATCACATTAATCCTTGCATAGCTGGATATGAGTTAAAGAAGTACTTGGAAAACGAGATCATATATCTAGTTAGATATTTTTGTACACTATTTGGAATGGCTAGTAAATTTGGGTGACAAACTGATGTTTCAGTAATTCCAGCCTGTCCTTCAAATTTCTGATGCAAAATGTGTTTGCCATTCTAGCCCAGGTGATGTTACCAATGTCCCGTAAGTGTCAGTCTGAGCATTAGTCGGTGTTTGCCTGTGAAGCCTCAAAGTATGGATGGCAGTCTCATGTTTGGCTTGTATCTTCATCTACCGTGGTTATATAAAGTTGCCAGAATTGTTTATTAACTGAGTATGACTATAACCCCTAACGAGCTTTATGTGTCTCTGTGGCCTGATAGAAATGCATTGATTTGATTGTAGACACCTTTTTCTTGAGTAGACGCTTCCCTGCTTGGTAATTCTTACCCACAGCCACGGAGGATTTTAGTGGTGCTGAGCTAGGAATCAGAAGAAAGTTGTGATCTTGCCTGTGTTATCTTGGCCTGATTCTCTTTGCCCTCTCTGGTTGGTAAAAATACTTGCCTTGTGTGCAGAGGGTTAGTGGAGGGATTGACCAAGGTGAAAACACTTTGAGCATCCACACTTGTTGCAGATGAAAAGTGATGGTGCAGTTCCAGTTCAAATAATAACAGATGTGCATCGCCGGTGAGATTTTTCTAAGAGTAGCTTGCCTGCTAACTTAAGAAATAATTTATATAGCTTTTTTGTTTTGTATTTTCCAACCTTCCAGAACCGGGACCAGTATTCACAACTGCGAAGTGATCATTTTCTGCTCTACCAAGGCCATAATTCCTTCCGTGAGAAATATTTCAGTGGAGTGACAAAAAGAATTGCCAAGGAAGAAAAACCCAGCCAGGAGTGAACATTAAGATTTTGAAAGACATCTGGATGTGAACTTTCATGTGGGATCCAGAAAACCTGTACTATTTTAAAACTTTATGGTGTATATATAAATGCTACAAAGTAAGCAGATCCTTGGAAATTGTTGTTTTAGAGGCTATTTTGTTGTATGCAATGTAATATCTTTTGAACTTTAATTTATATTTATACTTTTAAGTATTAATGGGGTTGTATTCAAAATTGTTATATTTTTTACAATTTATAGAGGGAACTAATATTGACTTTTTACACATATCAACCAGATGTCAAGGCAAGTAGTAATGGTTAAAAATTTATTCAGGGGCTGGCACTGAGGCATAGTGAATAAAGCCGCCACCTGCAGTGCCGGCATCCCATATGGATACTGGTTTGAGTCCCAGCGGCTCTATTTCTATCCATCCCTCTGTTATGATGATGATCCATGTCCTTGGGTCCCTGCATCCATGTGGGAGACCTGGAGTGAATCAGTGGATGGAAGACCCACCCCCCCTCTGAAACTCTCTTTCAAATAAATAAATAAATCTTAAGAAAAAAATTTATTCATTAAGTAAGTGAATTTGGGTTTTTACTGTAACTGATTTTTGTTGTCAATAATAAACCTTTTGGGAATTTCTAAAATCATGTAGTATTCGATACTTTTTGCGGGGATATGATGAGAGGCATGAGTTTTTATTTGTAAATTCCAGACAATAAGTACCAGCAGTGACAATAGTGATGTTGAAAGAGGCAAGGGCCTGACAACCGAGAAGACTCCAGATTCCTCCAGGCCTGTCCGCATCTGAGGCTCGTCTGTACCTTGGATTTTCTCCTGCATTCCTCAGCCTTGATCGTGGGTCAAGTTAACTACCCACAAGTTTTGGTTTAGAAAGTAACTGATAGTTAAAAGTGGTAACAACAACACAAGTCCCTGATGGTTCCCTAATGGTATTAGGCCTAATCAGTGCTCTTTGAAATAGAAGCTATATTTTTCCTCAAGTAGAAAGTTTGCTGAGTCCACATCATGTCCATCATGAAAATATCTTGTTTGAAAACCACTCTACCCATTAATTCAGGATGCTAATAGCTTTCCTGCCTTCGGTGGTCAAATGTACCTCAGCAGGGCAGCAGTAAGTGGACCCTCTCTCTTTAACCAGAGACCATTTTTATTTATGTTATTAGTATTATTTTAATGTTACTACTGACTTTTATGAACTCACAATATTAACTTGCACACCTTGGGAGCTCAAAAGACGTGGAGGTCAGGCGTTTTGCTTCTTTTTCTCCCCTTTCCTTGTCTTGCAGCTCTGGATTGCAGCAGCAGATCTCAGACATTTCCGTGATTGTTTTGTTTGGGTTTCTGGATGTGATTTGTGGCACACTGGGGAAAATCTAAAAGTATTCAAGGATGACTTGTTTTCAGTATTTCTCTTATAAACCAACTTACTTAAAATTGTTTGAGGTTATATGGGGGGGTGAGTTTGAAACTCTTGTTACTTAGTTGGAATATGAGATTTAGCTTAGCCTCTTTTATGGGTTGTCACAAAAATTAGCCCCAGTAGTTCTGAAAATCTGTAGTCCACTTTGCCCTTAAAAATTATTCAACAGATTTTTTAAATGTTTATTTTTTTTTACTACTGATTGAGGTCTTCTAAGCTTAAATCTCATTGTGAGGCTAATTTTCATATTTATCAGTAAGTTCAGTTTCCCATTTCTAAAGTGTCATGAGGCTCAGAGTGCAAATTTGTGCCATTGTAGAAGTTGATGCTCAGAAACAGAAAAGAAACTTGGTCACTTTTAACTAGTTTCAAATGTGGAGCCTCGGTTTCAAACTTCTTTGTTCTAAAAAGAGAGACTTTATTTTCTGGCATTGAGGTCTTACTACTTTCTGCATAAGATCGTTTGGTTTTGCGTGAGACTGTGTGTTCCTCAGAGCCTACCAGCAGGAATGTCACCTACCAACATGCCTGCATTTCAGATATTCCACAGTTTGAACTTAACTGTGTAATCTGGGAGCGACCCTAGGTGGTCCTGGACTGACCACTTTAATGTTTATAATATGACACAATCTATAATTTTTGGGGGGCATACGTTAAGTATCCATAAAATCCAAACGGGTTACCTTGGTGGTGCTTTGTTAGAAGGGCCTCCTTCCTCTCTGTTCTGGTAAGTACTTTTTTTGCTGGTATAGCTGGGGGCGAATAGTGGAGTAGGTGATCCCTGGTATGTTTAGCCAAAGTGGCCAGCCGATCAAAAAAAGTTTAAAATCTGCTACAATTTTCTCAGCCACTTCCTGCCCAGGGTAACCCAGCCTTGGGCCAGCCTGCCACTAGCTTCCTTATGACTAACTCTTTAAATAGAAGGATTGAGCAATAAACCATCTTCAAACTGCTTAAGCTCTGGGAGGTAAGTCAGTGTTGCCGCTATTTTCATTGTTGTTGAGAAAAGTCACTCAAATTTTGAGGCTCCCTCCATATTTGAGAATAGTGATTACAATGACAAGACCTTGCTACAAGTTTGGTAAGGAAAAGTGGATTATGAATTAACATCACAAGATTCATGGTAGTGGGTGTGTTTATTTGATTGGGTGAAAAAATGTACATTAGAAGTTGGAGACATGGAAATAGCTTTTAAGGTGATATGTGTTATACTCAGAATGTAAATCAAAGGAGCAGGGTTTTGACTTTTAACATCAGGAAATTAGATGTTAAGGTTATATTATCTAGATGCCAATATAAGCAAACCTGGCTCGTGAATAAAAGGTCTTAGTCATTTGGTGTTAGAAGAACTGTTGACATCTTATGCTGGAAATATTATCAAGTATTGCTTATCCAAAGAGATTCCGGAATAAAACATAATGTTTCTTTGTTGAAAATCGAAGGTGACTTTTTAAGGAAATGGTCATCTTTCCTTACCATTTTAATAAATCTCGCTTGAAAAAGCACAGAGATACTAAGCTGATGTTAAAGGTTTTATTAGGAAAAAAAAATTCTTTGTAGATAAAGCAGTACATAAATTATTTCCCTAATGCAGTGTAGGGATAGGAATGGAGGTGGGTGTTGCCAAGGTAATTGATGACCTCATTGTTGACCTGTTTGACCAAAAGAGAATAAATTACAGCAAAATAAGAACCTTGGCTCTTTTTTGCAAGAATATGGTTTTGCTCCATTACAGAGTTATTTAGAAAACTAAACACTTGCAAGACTTTTTTTTCTTAGAAGGATTGTATTCATAGAATAAGTGAAGTCTACTTTCATTTCCAACTCACCCACTCCCATTTTTCTCAGATATTTATCAAGTAATGTGGTTTGTAATCCAAACAAAAAAAGTGCCTTAATCCAGAACATACCCATGGACACAATAACACTGGACTGATGGTGTTTGTACTTTCCTAAAACATTGAGATCTTCTCTAAAACAGAGTGGTTTGAGAACATAAGGTCTAGAGTGTAAAGAATTATAATGGAATGATAAACATATCTACGATCCTATCTAGCCGTAGAATCATAGAGACAGCACATTCCTGTGTATCCTTTGGGGTAAAGCGACTGACGAGGGAACCTGACCCTTTGCCTCAAAAGAGGCCTGCCTCAGGTTGTTCACATGTTTCACTGTGTGGGATAAGCGCAGTGACATTTAGACATAACTGTGGCCAACCTGGAATGTGGCTCTTATCCCTTCGTTCATAAGCCATTGTCGACAGGCTCTTAAGGAGATGGAGTTTCAATTGTCGTGGCAGTCTCTTAAGAAGCCTGGGTTGTGGAACAAAATGGGCCTTAATAGATGAGTGTTCAGATAAGCCAGCTTCCCTTATGTAAGTACGAGGCCTGTGAGCCCTGGCGTTTCTTGGGATATTAGGGCTTGCTTTGTATATTTTTGTTCTAGAATTTGAAAGTTTTTGATGAGCTAATCATGTTGCAGTCATGCCAGGCTGAATTGCCTAAAAAGGAATCTGTTCTGACCTCTGTGACTTTAAGATCTCTGTAATCCAGGCACCCTGACTCTCTTTCCTGAGAGTTCATCAGAACACTGTTTTGACTGACATCCAGCAGTGAGGATTAGCTGGGTTTACCTGTGAAGTTAGCCAAATTAAAAAGAAAAAAGTAGTCTGAGGAGAAAATGAAAATGGAGAGTGTAAATGGTACCGTATGATGTTGAAATGGTCTGCCAAAGTGTTTTATGTGGTGGTGTTGTAAGTGACACAGGTCAAGATGGTCAGAGCTGGTATTGGTGAACTTTGTTTATTTTTTTTAAAGATTTATTTATTTATTTGAAAGAATTACACAGAGAGAGATGGAGAGGCAGAGAGAGAACTTCCATCTACTGCTTCAGTCCCCAGTTGGCTACAAAAGCCGGAGTTTTGCCGATCTTGCAGGTCTTCCATGCAGGTGCAGGGGCCCAAGGACTTGGGCCATCCTCTACTGCTCTCCCAGGCCATAGCAGAGAGCTGGATCGGAAGTGGAGCAGCCGAGACTTGAACCGGAGCCCATATGGGATGCCGGGACTGCAGGTGGCGGGCTTTACCCACTACGTCACAGCGCTGGCCCCAAGTGAACTTTAAAACTCTGTAGGAATCCCTTAATATTTGTGTATACATCGTGGACTGGAGTTACTTCATCCAAAGATTCAATGCTTTCAGTAAAAACAACAAAACTTCATAATGCATTTTTCTACAATGTATACCTATTAAGAAAATTCTCCATGTACATCTTCTCTCTGAGCGAGGCACTGCACTCTGTATTCTGAACTGTCTTTTTGAGGATGTAGTGAATAATCTTGGAAGATAAAGATAGTGTCTTCCCCTTTCCTGTCTCTCCTTCCAACTTCTGCAACAGAGGTCAAGTTTGCATACAACCTTCAAGGACAATGTCTTCTCACCAGAGTAAGGGACGTGCTTACTGTCCATTATAAATGATTTGGATTCTCTAAGCTCAGGGTTCCTTGAAACTTGACCCTTGCAGTGCAACTCCCTGTGTGAGTAGGTACTCACGTGGACCTATCCAAGTCACCTCTCTGGGACTTGGGTAGAAGGGAGAACTTATTAAAATAGCTGATTTTCATGCTACTTACTGTACCACAGGTAATAAAGTTCTTCGTATGCGACATAACCAGTGCCTGGTACACTTCTCAGCTTTCAATAGGATGAAATGTCAGACCTTTCACAGTTCCTGATAGCTTTAGTAATGAGCGTGGGCTGTTAAGACATGGCTTTCTGGAAGGGGATGAGAGCTTTGTGGCCCACTAGCAGGATTTGAAGGAAGTCCAAAGGAATTGCTGGCAAACAAATTGACCAACTTTCTGATTGACCTGAGACCTGGTCCTGAACTGTATCTTGGGCCATGCAGTCAGACTATCATGCTAACCTTAGGTCCATTCACAGATGATGATAATAAAGCTTTTCATTTCCCAGTGGATCTTGGTTGCTCTCAGGGAGCTTTGACTTCCAGGGACATAGTCCTGAAATAAACTGTGGGAAGGGGTAGAGACGAAGCATTGACTAATATTTGATCTTTACTTCCCTAGACTGAATTATACTGTGATGAATGTGGCCTAATGTATCATGAGAAACTGACCCCCAAAATTCTAGATAAATTCTTGCAGCATGCACCACCACCTTAGAAATCTGCTTTACCTTTTATGTTAAAA